CACAGCGCATTTCCTGATACTCTGGTTCAGTCCTTTTAGAGTGAGTCTCAGTTTTTTTGTTTTGTTTTGTTTTGTTTTGTTTTGTTTTGGTGGTATGCTGGCCTCTCACTGTTGTGGCCTCTCCCATTGAAGAGCACAGGCTCCAGGCGTGCAGGCTCAGTGGCCATGGCTCACGGGCCCAGCTGCTCCGTGACATGTGGGATCTTCCCAGACCGGGGCACGAACCCGTGTCCCCTGCATCGACAGGCTGACTCTCAACAACTGTGCCACCAGGGAAGCCCGAGCCTCAGTTTTGATGATAGATAACATTTTTCAGTCGGGACATATAAGACTTCCAGGAATTTCACACAATTTCTGGAGCATTTATTGTACATACCTATACAGACACAACATAAAGAAGGCTTAAAGATACATCTTATTTAATGCTTTCCATGTAATTTAATATATCATGTATGTGTAAGTAGTTTAATATATCTCTTTTTATAAGGAGAGGAAACATATCTTTGAGATATTTCAGGGCTGTCTGAAATATCCCATATATCAGGGGTCCCCAAACCCCAGGCTGAAAACCAGTACCAGTCGGTGGCCTGTTAGGAACCAGTCCACACAGCAGGAAGTGAGTGGTGAGCAAGTGAGCGAAGCTTCTTCTGCCACTCCTCATTGCTCCTTTTTGCTCGCATTACTGCCTGAGCCATCCTCCCCCTACCCCGTTCATGGAAAAATTGTCTTCCAAGAAACCAGTCCCTGGTGCCAAAAAAGTTGGGGACCACTGCCATATATCACAGTTAGTTCTAAGTCTAAAAGACTTTATTTAGTATTTTATTTTGGGAAATACTGTCTAAAACATCAAAAAGTTTTTAAAACACTTAGTCAAATAGGTCACTGTGAAACAATGCTTAGATATTCATTTAACAAAAATAACAAATTTTCATAAGCAAATATAGAAAGTTATATAGTTCTGAGAAAAACTTAGCTCTTTTATTACTGAGAGGATTAGGGTTTACTTAAGTAATCAAAAACTTGATAAAGACAACATAGAACATAAATGATATTTTGACAAGTCATGTAATTTTTGCTTTTTCCTAAGAAGTTTAATTAAATGTAAAGAAAAATCTTCTTAATCTCTTATTATCAAGAACATACCAATAGAGAAAAAACATTGTCTTTTTAACAGAGAGAAAACCAAATTCCAATTTTGCATTAGTTTACTTTTGATAATAAAACTCATTTACCTAGTTAAACTTATTCCAATCTTATCCAGTCCTGACCACACATACAATTCATTTCAAAAAGATTCCTTTTTTACAAAACTTTTACAACTTTTTATGTTCATTTTAGATTGTCTGTTGTTTACTTTCCCATTGAGAAATAACCGGCTTTAGGACAAAATCACTTTATTTTTCTCTTAACAAAAACAACTTGATGCCTAATAACTTTTCTTACCCCCAAAATATCTTATTTCTATTATTATATCTGGTAGCTTTAATCAAAAGTATTAATTAGAATTTTTAATCCTTTGAAATCTTATCTTTTAGTAAAATTAAAGAAACAATTGTGAAATGTCTTAACATTTTGTGGTTTGTAATACTTATAGATGCATTTTATACTTTCTAGAAATATATGCTACTCCATAGTATAAACTTTTAATAAAGCACACAATATATTTACTAATAGACACAGAATACTTAGTTTCTCTGTAATAAGAGGTCAAAAGTAGGTAAACTGGGCTTTCCTGGTGGCACAGTTGTTGAGAGTCTGCTGGCCAGTGCAGGGGACACGGGTCCGAGCCCTGGTCTGTGAGGATCCCACATGCCGTGGAGCAACTGGGTCCGTGAGCCACAACTACTGAGTCTGCATGTCTGGAGCCTGTGCTCTGCAACAAGAGAGGCCGTGATAGTGAGAGACCCACGCACCGCTATGAGGAGTGGCCCCTGCTTGCTGCAACTAGATAAAGCCCTCGCACAGAAAGGAAGACCCAACACAGCCAAAAATAAAATAATTAATAAATTAATTTTTTAAAAAGTAGGTAAACTAAAACCTGTTTAACAATTAATATTTCATTGTTTAATCTTATTTTGAAATGATCTTGACATTCAATGATTTCCCATCATTTAATTGAACTTAGCAAAACTCTAAGGATGTAAATTACCAAAGAGACTTAAGACACTAAGTAGACATATCACAAAATAATTATTGTTAAAAAGTTTATCTAAAAAATTCTTACTGAAATATATTTATTTCATTGTTCTTTAAAATAATTCTTAGATTACTCATGAAAATTTCATTAGAATTTAAAACAGTCATTGTCTTAAATTTATTTGTTTGTTTTTCTGAATACTTTGCAACAGAGACAACATAAGCCCACTTGATTAGTAAACCCAGGTTGAACAACAGTTATTTATTGGTATTTTGAAAAATTAATTAATTAATATTTTTATTTTTTTATATTTTATTGGAGTATAATTGCTTTAAAATTTTGTGCAAGTTTCTGTTCTACAATGAAGTGAATCAGCTATATGAATACTTATATCCCCTTTCTCTTAGACATCTCTCCCACCCCGCACCCCAATCCCACATATCTAGGTCATCATAGAGCAATGAGGAGAGCCCCTTGTGCTATACAGCAGGTTCGCACTAGCTATCTATTTTACACATGGTAGTCTATTTTTGCGAAACCTAGTCTCTCAACTTATCCCACCCTCCCTTTCACGACCTGTGTTCACATGTCCATCCTCTAGGTATATGTCTCTATTTCTGCCCTGCAAATAGGTACATCTGTACTATTTTTCTAGATTCCACAAATATGCGTTTCCCCTCACCATAACCTCAAGTCCATGCTCTAGTAGGACTGTGTCTTTATTCCCGTCTTACCCCTAGGTTTTTCATGACATTTTTTTCTTAGATTCCATATGTATGTGTTAGCATACGGTATTTGTTTTTCTATTTATGACTTACTTCACTCTGTATGACAGAATCTAGGTCCATACACCTCACTACAAAAAACTGAATTTCGTTTCTTTTGATGGCTGAGTAATATTCCGTTGTATATATGTGCCACATCTTCTTTATCCATTCATCCGATGATGGATACTTAGGTTGATTCACAGTCCTGGCTATTGTAAATAGAGCTGCAATGAACATTTTGGTACATGACTCTTTTTAAATTACGGTGTTCTTAGGGTATATGCCCAGTAGTGGGATTGCTGGGTCGTATGGTAGTTCAATTTGTAGTTTTTTAAGGAACTTCCATACTCTTCTCCATATTAGCTGTATCAGTTTACATTCCCACCAACAGTGCAAGAGAGTTCCTTTTTCTCCACACCCATTCAAGCATTTATTGTTTCTAGATTTTTTGATGATGGCCATTCTGACTTGTGTGAGATGACATCTCATTGTACTTTTGGTTTGCATTTCTCTAATGATTAATGATGTTGAGCATTCTTTCATGTGTTTGTTGGCAGTCTGTGTATCTTCTTTGGAGAAATGTCTGTTTAGGTCTTTGGGCCATTTTTGGATTGGGTTGTTTGTTTTTTTGTTATTGAGCTGCATGAGCTGCTTGTAAATTTTGCAGATGAATCCTTTGTCAGTTGCATAATTTGCAAGTATTTTCTCCCATTCTGTGGGTTGTCTTTTGGTCTTGTTTATGGTTTCCTTTGCTGTGCAAAAGCTTTGAAGTTTCATTAGGTCCCATTTGTTTATTTTTGTTTTTATTTCCATTTCTCTAGGAGATAGGTCAAAAAGGATCTTGCTGTGATTTATGTCATAGAATGTTCTGCTTATGTTTTCCTCTAAGAGTTTTATAGTGTCTGGCCTTCATTTAGTTTTTTAATCCATTTTGAGTTTATTTTTGTGTATGGTGTTAGGGAGTTTTTTAATTTCATACATTTACATGTACCTGTCCAGTTTTCCCAGCAACACTTATTGAAGAGGCTGTCTTTTCTCAACTGTATATTCTTGCCCCCTTTATGAAAGATAAGTTGGGGCTTCCCTGGTGGCAGAGTGGTTGAGAGTCTGCCTGCTGATGCAGGGGACAAGGGTTCATGCCCCAGTCTGGGAAGATTCCACATGCGGCGGAGCGGCTAGGTCCGTGAGCCATGGCTCCTGTGCCTGCGTGTCCGGAGCCTGTGCTCCAAAACGGGAGAGGCTGCAACAGTGAGAGACCTGAATACCACAAAAATAAATAAATAAATAAAAAAGGTGACCATATATGTGTGGGTTTAGCTCTGGGCTTTCTATCCTTTTCCATTGATCTATATTTCTTTTTTTGTGCCAGTACCATACTGTCTTGATTACTGTACCTTTGTAGTATAGTCTGAAGTCAGGGAGCCTGATTCCTCCAGCTCCATTTTTCATTCTCAAGATTGCTTTAGCTATTTCGGGTCTATTGTGTTTCCATAAAATTTGTGAAATATTTTGTTCCACTTCTGTGAAAAATGCCAGTGGTAGTTTGATAGGGATTGCATTGAATCTGTAGGTTGCTTTGGGTAGTAGAATCATTTTCACAAAGTTGATTCTTCCAATCCAAGAACATGGTATATCTCCCCATCAATGTGTAACATCTTTAATTTCTTTCATCAGTGTCTTATAATTTTCATCAGTGTCATCAGTGTCTTATAATTTTCTGCATACAGATCTTTTGTCTACTTAGGTAGGTTTATTCCTAGATATTTTATTCTTTTTGTTGCAATGGTAAATGAGAGTGTTTTCTTAATTTCACTTTCAAATTTTTCATCATTAGTGTATAAGAAAGGAAGGGATTTCTGTGCATTAATTTTGTATCCTGCTACTTTACCAAATTCATTGATTAGCTCTAGTAATTTTATGGTAGCATCTTTAGGATTCTCTTTGTATAGTATCATGTCATCTGGAAACAGTGACAGCTACACTTCTTCTTTTCTGATTTGGATTCACTTTATTTCTTTTTCTTCTCTGATTGCTGTGGCTAAAACTTCCAAAATTATTTTGAATAAGAGTGGTGAGAGTGGGCAACCTTGTCTGGTTTCTGATCTTAGTGGAACTGGTTTCACGTTTTCACCATTGAGGATGATGATGGCTGTGGCTTTGTCATATATGGCCATTATTATGTTGAGGAAAGTTCCCTCTATGCCTACTTTCTGCAGGGTTTTTATCATAAATGAGTGTTGAATTTTGTCAAAAGCTTTCTCTGCATCTATTGAGATGATCATATGTTTATTCTCCTTCAGTTTGTTAATAGGATGTATCACATTGATTGTTTTGCCTATATTGAAGAATCCTTGCATTCCTGGAATAAACCCCACTTGATTATGGTGTATGATCCTTTTAATGTGTTGTTGGATTATGTTTGCTAGTATTTTGTTGTGGATTTTTGCATCTACTCTCATCAGTGATATTGGCCTGTAGTTTTCTTTCTTTGTGACATCTTTGTCTGGTTTTGGTATCACAGTGATGGTGGTCTCATAGAATGAGTCTGGGAGTGTTCCTTCCTCTGCTATATTTTGGAAGAGTTTGAGAAAGATAGGTGTTAGCTCTTCTCTGAATGTTTGATAGAATTCGCCTGTGAAGCCATCTGGTCCTGGGCTTTTGTTTGTTGGCAGATTTTTAATAAGAGTCTCAATTTCAATGCTCGTGATTGGTCTGTTCATATTTTTATTTCTTCCTGTTTCTTTCTTGGCACGTTGTGCAATCCTAAGAATTTGTCTATTTCTTCCAGGTTGTCCATTTATTGGCCTAGAGTTGCTTGTAGTAATCTGTCATGATCCTTTGTATTTCTGCAGTGTCAGTTTTTATTTCTCCTTTTTCATTTCTAATTCTATTGATTTGAGTCTTCTACCTTGTTTTCTTGATGTGTCTGGCTAATTGTTTATCAATTTTGTTTATCTTGTCAAAAAACCAGCTTTTAGTCTTATTAATCTTTGCTATTGTTTCCTTCATTTCTTTTTCATTTATTTCTGATCTAACCTTCATAATTTCTTTCCTTTGTTAACTTTGGGTTTTTTTTTTTGTTCTGTTTTCTCTAAATGCTTTAGGTGCATGTTTAGGTTCTTTATTTGAGATGTTTCCTGTTTCTTAAGGTAGGGTTGTATTGCTATAAACTTCCCTCTTAGACCTGCTTTTGTTGCTTCCCATAGGTTTTGGGTAATCGTGTCTCCATTTTCATTTGTTTCTAGTATTTCTTTTTTCCTCTTTGATTTCTTCAGTGATCACTTTGTTATTAAGTAGTATATTGCTTAGCCTCCATGTGTTTGTTTTTTTTTACAGATCTTTCCCTGTAATTGATATCTAGTCTCATAGCATTGCAGTGGGAAAAGATACTTGATACAATTTCAACTTTCTTAAATTTACCAAGGCTAGGTTTGTGACCCAAGATATGATCTTTCCTGCAGAATGTTCCATGAGCACTTGTGAAGAAAGTGTATTCTGTTTATTTGTATGGAATGTCCTATAAATATCAACTAAGTCCATGTTGTGTAATATATCATTTAAAGCTTGTGTTTCTTTATTTTCATTTTGCATGATCTGTCCATTGGTGAAAGTGGGATGTTAAAGTCCACTAGTATGATTGTGTTACTGTGGATTTCCCCTTTTATGGCTGTTAGTATTTGCCTTATGTATTTAGGTGCTTCCATGTTGGGTGCACAAATATTTACAACTGTTATATCTTCTTCTTGGATTGATCTTTTGATAATTATGTAGTGTCCTTCTTTGTCTCTTCTAATAGTCTTTATTTTAAAATCTATTTTGTCTAATATGAGAATTGGTACTCCAGCTTTCTTCTGATTTCCATTTCCATGGAATATCTCTTTCCATCCCCTCACTTTCAGTCTGTATGTGTCCCTAGGTCTAAAGTGGATCTCTTGTAGACAACCTATATATGGATCTTGTTTTTGTGTCCAGTCACACAGTCTGTGTCTTTTGGTGGGAGCATTTAATCCATTTACATTTAAGGTAATTATTGATATGTATGTTCTTATTGCCATTTTCTTAATTGTTTTGGGTTTGTTATTGTAGGTCTTTTCCTTCTCTTGTATTTCTTGTCTAGAGAAGTTCCTTTAGCATTTGTTGTAAAGCTGGTTTGGTGGTGCTAAACTCTCTCAGCTTTTGCTTGTCTGTAAAGGTTTTAATTTCTCCATCAAATCTGAATGAGATCTTTGCTTGATAGAGTAATCTTGGTTGTAGGATTTTCTCCTTCATCACTTTAAATATGTCCTGCCACTCATTCTGGCTTGCAGAGTTTCTGCTGAATGATCAGCTGTTAAACTTATGGTGATTCGCTTGTGTGTTGTTTGTTGTTTTTCCCTTGTTGCTTTTAATATGTTTTCTTTAAGATTTTATAATTTGATTAATATATGTCTTGATGTGGTTCTCCTTTGATTTATCTTGTATGGGACTCTCTGTGCTTCCTGGACTTGATTAACTATTTCCTTTCCCATATTAGGGAACTTTTCAACTAGAATCTCTTCAAATATTTTCTCAGTCCCTTTCTTTTTCTTTCTTCTTCTGCTACCTTTATTATTCGAATGTTGGTGCATTTAATGTTGTCCCAGAGGTTTCTGAGACTGTCCTCAGTTCTTTTCATTCTTTTTTGTTTATTCTGCTCTGCTGTAGTTATTTCCACTATTTTATCTTCCAGGTCACTTATCTGTCCTTCTGCCTCAATTATTCTGCTATTGATCCCTTCTAGAGTATTTTTAATTTCATTTATTGTGTTTTTCATTATTGCTTGTTTCCTCTTTAGTTCTTCTAGGTCTTTATTGTGTTTTTCATTATTGCTTGTTTCCTCTTTAGTTCTTCTAGGTCCTTCTGGGTCCAAAATGAAAAGACAGAAAAGCACAAGCAGATGAAGGAGGAAGGTAAAAACACAGCAGACCTAACAAATGAAGAGGAAACAAGCAGTCTACTTGAAAAAGAATTCAGGAAAATGATAGTAAAGATGATCCAAAATCTTGGAAATAGAATAGACAAAATTTCCTCCCACTGACACTAGCTCTCTGCATATGACACATCTCACTACCCATTATAACAGCAGGTATCCCACCCCAAACATAAAATAAGAAATATGTCTGACAAAAGAATTACTTTGATAGAGTAAATAATAGAGGTTTGAGTCCTCTTATTTCTAGAATAATAGGAATCGAACCTACCCTTAAGAATTCAAAATTCTCCATGCTACCACATTACACCATAATCTATAGTAAGGTCAGCTAAATAAGCTACCTGGCCCATACCCCAGAAATGTTGGTTCATATCCTTCCCATACTAATTAACCCATTCGTCTCTATCACCCTACTAACAACTCTCGTCCTAAGCACAACAATTGTAACCATTAGCTCCCATTGACTGTTTGCCTGAATTGGACTAGAAATAAATATGATAGCCATCATTCCTATCATAATAAAAAAACCTAATCCTCGAGCCACAGAAGCCTCAGCCAAATACTTTCTAACGCAAGCCACAGCATCCTCATTACTTATACTAGCAATTATTATTAACCTAATACACTCCAGCCAATGAACCATCATAAAATTATTCGACCCAACAGCATCCATTCTAATAACAATATCTTTAGCTGTTAAACTAGGATTGTCCCCTTTTCACTTTTGAGTACCAGAAGTTACACAAGGTGTTCCCCTAAGCACAGGACTAATTCTACTTATGTGACAAAAACTCGCACCCATCTCAATCCTTTATCAAATTTCACCATCAATCAATCTACAACTAATAATTACTATATCCTTTCTATCAATTCTAATCGGAGGCTGAGGTGGACTAAACCAAACACAACTCCGAAAAATCATAGCCTACTCATCAATTGCTCACATAGGATGAATAACCGCTATTTTATTATACAACCCAGCCCTCACCCTACTAAATCTATTAATTTACATTGTAATAACCTTCACCATATTTATGCTACTTATCCAAAACTCCACTACCACCACACTACTACTATCCCAAACATGAAATACAATACCTGTTATAACAACCTTTACTATGCTTACCCTACTCTCCATAGGAGGACTTCCTCCACTCACAGGGTTTATACCCAAATGAATGATTATTCAAGAACTAACAAAAAACGATACCCTCATCCTACCCACCCTCATAGCCATCACAGCTCTACTCAACCTATATTTCTATATACACCTTACCTACACCACAGCATTAACCCTGTTCCCCTCTACCAACAACATAAAATAAAATGACAATTCCACTCCACAAAACAAATAACCCTTTTACCAACAGCAATCGTACTATCCACAATACTTCTACCTCTTACACCAGCACTCTTTGTCCTACTATAGGGGTTTAGGTTAAATAACACCAAGAGCCTTCAAAGCCCTAAGCAAGTATAATTTTACTTAACCCCTGCCCAATAAGGATTGCAAGACCATATCTCACATTAATTGAATGCAAATCAAACACTTTAATTAAGCTAAATCCTCACTAGATTGGAGGGATACATCTCCCACGAACTTTTAGTTAACAGCTAAATACCCTAATAAACTGGCTTCAATCTACTTCTCCCGCCGAGAGAAAAAAAAGCGGGAGAAGTCCCAGCAGGATTGAAGCTGCTTCTTTGAATTTGCAATTCAAAATGATTATTCACCACAGGACTTGGCAAAAAGAGGACTTTACCCCTGTCTTTAGATTTACAGTCTAATGCCTACTCGGCCATTTAACCTATGTTCATAAACCAATGACTATTCTCTACCAATCACAAAGACATTGGTACTCTGTATTTACTATTTGACGCCTGGGCAGGAATAGTGGGTACTGGTCTAAGCTTGTTGATTCATACTGAATTAGGTCAGCCTGGCACACTTATCGGAGATGACCAACTTTATAATGTTCTAGTAACAGCTCACGCCTTCGTAATAATTTTCTTTATGGTTATACCTATCATAATTGGGGGATTTGGAAACTGACTAGTTCCCTTGATAATTGGAGCCCCTGACATAGCATTCCCTCGTCTATACAACATAAGCTTCTGACTACTTCCCCCTTCCTTTCTACTACTGATAGCATCTTCAATAATTGAAGCCGGCACAGGTACAGGCTGAACTGTATATCCTCCTCTAGCCGGAAATCTAGCACACGCAGGAGCCTCAGTAGACCTTACTATTTTCTCTCTGCATTTAGCCGGTGTATCTTCAATCCTTGGGGCTATTAACTTCATTACAACTATTATTAATATAAAACCACCCGCTATAACCCAATACCAGACACCTCTCTTCGTCTGATCTGTCTTGGTCACAGCAGTCTTACTCTTACTATCACTACCCGTCTTAGCAGCCGGAATTACCATACTATTAACTGATCGAAACCTAAACACAACCTTTTTCGACCCAGCAGGAGGAGGTGACCCAATCCTATATCAACACCTATTCTGATTTTTTGGCCATCCCGAAGTATATATTCTAATTCTGCCTGGCTTCAGAGTAATTTCACATATCGTTACCTATTATTCGGGGAAAAAAGAACCTTTCGGGTATATGGGAATAGTATGAGCTATAGTTTCTATTGGTTTCCTGGGTTTTATTGTATGAGCTCATCATATATTTACAGTTGGAATAGACGTAGATACATGAGCATACTTTACATCAGCCACTATAATTATTGCAATTCCTACAGGAATAAAAGTCTTCAGCTGACTGGCAACACTTCACGGAGGAAGTATTAAATGATCTCCCGCCCTAATATGAGATCTAGACTTTATTTTCTTATTCACAGTAGGAGGTTTAACCGGTATTATCCTGGCTAACTCATCCCTAGACATTATTCTCCACGACACCTATTATGTGGTTGCCCATTTTCACTACGTGCTTTCAATAGGAGCTGTCTTCGCCATCATAGGAGGTTTTGTCCACTGATTTCCACTATTTTCAGGCTATACATTTAACCCAACATGAACAAAAATCCAATTCATAATTGTATTCGTAGGTGTGAATATGACATTCTTTCCACAACACTTCCTAGGCCTATCTGGAATACCTCGTCGATACTCCGACTACCCAGATGCCTACACAACATGAAATACCATCTCATCAATAGGCTCCTTTATCTCACTGACAGCAGTCATACTGATAATCTTCATTATCTGAGAAGCATTCACATCTAAACGGGAAGTATTAGCAGTAGACCTCACCTCCACAAACCTTGAATGACTAAACGGATGTCCTCCACCATATCACACATTTGAGGAACCGGTATATGTTAACCTAAAATATTCAAGAAAGGAAGGAATCGAACCCCCTCTAATCGGTTTCAAGCCAACATCATAACCATTATGTCTTTCTTTATGAGTGAGGTATTAGTAAAGTCTTACGTAACTTTGTCAAAGTTAAATCACAAGTGAAAATCCTGTATATCTCCATGGCATACCCCTTCCAACTAGGCTTACAAGACGCAGCATCACCTGTTATAGAAGAACTCCTACAGTTTCATGACCACGCATTAATGATTGTTTTCCTAATTAGCTCCCTAGTCCTCTATATTATTACACTAATACTTACAACCAAATTAACACACACTAGTACAATAGATGCTCAAGAAGTAGAAACTATTTGAACTGTCCTCCCAGCCGTTATCTTAATTATAATCGCCCTACATTCTCTACAAATTCTCTACATAATAGACGAAATTAACAATCCCTCCCTTACCATAAAAACAATAGGGCATCAATGATATTGAAGCTATGAATATACTGACTACGAAGACCTAAATTTTGACTCCTACATGATTCCAACCTCGGACCTAAAACCAGGAGAACTACGATTGCTAGAAGTAGATAATCGAATGGTCCTACCCATACAAATAACAATCCGAATACTAGTTTCCTCAGAAGATGTATTACACTCATGAGGTGTTCCTTCCCTAGGTCTAAAAACAGATGCAATTCCTGGACGCCTAAACCAAACAACCCTAATATCAACACGACCTGGCCTGTTCTACGGACAATGTTCAGAAATCTGTGGCTCAAATCACAGCTTTATGCCAATCGTTCTCGAATTAGTACCCTTAGAGAACTTTGAAAAATGATCTGCATCCATATTATAATTTCCTTAAGAAGCTAAACTAGCGTTAACCTTTTAAGTTAAAGATTGAGAGTTATAAACTCCCCTTAATGACATGCCACAACTAGATACATCAACATGACTCCTTACCATTCTCTCTATGATCTTTACCCTCTTCACATTACTTCAACTAAAAATCTCAAAGCATTTTTATTCTCTTTCCCCCAAACCAATGTGCACTAAATTACAAAAACAACAAACCCCTTGAAATTACACATGAACGAAAATCTATTTGCCCCTTTCATAATCCCGATTATACTAGGTATTCCTATCACTACTTTAATTATTATATTTCCCACCATACTATTCCCAACACCAAATCGATTAATCAATAATCATATAATCGCTATCCAACAATGACTAACCAAACTCACATCAAAGCAACTGATAGTTACACATAACCTCAAAGGACAAACCTGATCTCTAATACTTATCTCACTTTTCCTATTCATCGCTTCCACAAATCTTCTTGGAATATTACCCCACTCATTTACACCCACTACTCAACTCTCTATAAATTTAGGCATAGCTATTCCATTATGAGCTGGCACTGTCATTATCGGTTTCCGTAACAAGACAAAAATATCCCTAGCCCACCTTTTACCACTAGGCACACCCACCTTCCTGATCCCTATATTAGTAATAATCAAAACTATCAGCCTATTTATTCAACCTTTAGCTCTAGCAGTACGGCTAACAGCTAACATCACAGCAGGTCACCTATTACTACACCTAATCGGAAGTGCAACTCTTGCATTAATAGATATTAGTCTATTCACAGCCCTCATCACATTCACCATCCTCACCCTATTAGTCATCCTCGAATTCGCCATAGCCCTAATCCAAGCCTACGTATTCACCTTACTAGTAAGCCTATACTTGCAGGACAATACATAATGACCCACCAAACCCACTCATATCATATAGTAAACCCCACTCCTTGACCACTTACAGGAGCTCTCTCAGCATTTCTTATAACATCAGGCCTAATCATATGATTCCACTTCAACTCAATAATCTTACTGACTTTAAGCTTTTTGACAAATACCCTAACAATATACCAATGATGATGAGATGTTGTCCGAGAAAGCACTTTCCAAGGCCACCACACACCAACCGTTCAAAAAGGGCTCCGATATGGTATAATCTTATTTATCTTATCAGAAGTCCTATTCTTTACAGGCTTCTTCTGGGCCTTTTACCATTCAAGTCTTGCCCCTACTCCTGAATTAGGAGGCTCCTGACCACCAACGGGTATCCACCCTCTAAATCCACTAGAAGTCCCACTCCTCAATACCTCTGTACTATTAGCTTCCAGTGTATCTATCACTTGAGCCCATCATAGTCTCATAGAAGGCGACTGCAAACATATACTCCAAGCTCTTCTCATCACAATCATACTCGGCCTCTATTTCACCCTACTTCAAGCATCAGAATACTATGAAGCCCCATTTAAAATCTCAGACAGAGTCTATGGGTCTACCTTCTTTGTAGCCACAGGCTTCCACAGACTACACGTCATCATCGGATCAACTTTCCTTATCGTCTGCTTTATACGTCAAATAATATTCCACTTTACATCAAATTACCACTTTGGCTTCGAAGCTGCTGCTTGATACTGACATTTCGTAGATGTTGTATGATTATTCCTCTATGTATCAATCTATTGATGGGGTTCATAGTCCTTTTAGTATTAACAAGTACAACTGACTTCCAATCAGTTAGTTTCGGTACACCCTGTAAAAGAACAATAAACCTTCTATTAACGCTACTGACGAACACAACCCTAACCTTACTACTCATACTTATCGCTTTTTGACTCCCCCAACTAAACGTCTATGCAGAAAAAAACAGCCCTTATGAATGTGGCTTTGACCCAATAGGATCTGCTCGTCTACCCTTTTCCATAAAATTTTTCCTAGTAGCAATTACTTTCCTCCTTTTCCACCTAGAAATTGCTCTCCTGCTCCCCTTACCTTGAGCAATCCAAACAAAAAACCTAACAACAATACTCTTCCTCAAGGCCCTATTCCTAATCTCCCTACTGGCAGCTAGCCTAGCCTATGAATGAACCCAAAAAGGCCTAGAATGAGATAAATATGATACTTAGTTTAAAATAGAACAAGTGGTTTCGACCCACTAGACTGTGATCTAAACTCACAAGTACCAAATGTCTCTAGTCCACATTAACATTTTAATTGCCTTTACAGTATCCCTCACAGGTTTATTAATATACCGATCCCACCTAATATCTGCATTACTATGCTTAGAAGGCATAGTATTATCATTATTTATTCTAGCAGCCCTTACAATCCTAAACACACACTTCACTCTGGCCAACATGATACCAATCATCCTCTTAGTATTTGTAGCCTGCGAGGCAGCTATTGGACTAGCCTTACTAGTCATAGTTTCCAACACGTATGGTACCGACTACGTACAAAACCTTAACCTCCTTCAATGCTAAAATTCATTGTTCGTACTATTATACTTATACCTTTAACTTGACTATCAAAAAGTAACTTTATCTGAATTAATACTACAACCCACAGTTTACTTATCAGCTTTACAAGCTTACTTCTACTTAACCAATTTAACGATAACAGCCTTAACTATTCTTTAACATTTTTCTCTGACTCCCTTTCCACACCACTCTTAATATTAACAATATGACTTCTTCCCTTGATATTAATAGCAAGCCAATCTCACCTCCTAAAAGAACCACTTACCCGAAAAAAACTCTACATTACAATACTAATTTTACTACAAATCCTCTTAATTATAACCTTTACTGCTATAGAATTAATTATGTTTTATATTACATTTGAAGCCACATTAATTCCTACTCTCATTATCATTACCCGTTGAGGCAAGCAAACAGAACGACTTAACGCAGGGCTCTACTTCTTATTTTATACACTCATAGGATCTCTCCCCTTACTAGTAGCACTAACATATCTACAAAATACAGTAGGCTCACTAAATTTCCTATTATTAGAATACTGAGCCCAACCACTACCAACTTCCTGATCTAATACTTTCATATGATTAGCTTGCATAATAGCCTTCCTAGTAAAAATACCCCTTTACGGACTACATCTTTGATTACCTAAAGCACATGTAGAGGCCCCTATTGCAGGTTCAATAGTCCTTGCAGCTGTACTACTAAAGCTCGGAGGCTATGGCATACTACGAATCACATCAATTCTTAATCCCCTAACAGAACACATAGCCTATCCTTTCCTTGTACTATCCCTATGAGGAATAATCATAACCAGTTCTATCTGTTTACGCCAAACAGATCTAAAATCACTAATCGCATACTCCTCAGTCAGCCACATAGCACTCGTCATTGCAGCTATCCTTATCCAAACCCCTTGAAGTTACATAGGAGCTACCACCTTAATAATTGCCCATGGCCTTACATCCTCCATATTATTCTTTTTAGCAAATTCAAACTACGAACGTATTCATAGCCGAACCATAATCCTAGCACGAGGCCTACAAATTTTTTTCCCACTAATAGCTACCTGATGACTATTAGCATGCCTAACAAACCTCGCCCTACCCCCTACCATCAACCTGATCGGAGAACTACTCGTAATTATATCAACTTTCTCATGATCAAACCTCACTATCATCCTCATGGGAACAACTATTGTAATCACAGCCTTCTACTCCCTATACATACTAATCATAACACAACGTGGCAAACATACACCATATTAACAACCTTACCCCTACTTTTACACGGGAACATACCTTAATGGCCCTACACATTATCCCCCTCCAACACCTGTCACTAAATCCTAAAATCATTCTAGGACCTCTCTATTGTAAGTATAGTTTAAAAAAACCATTAGTTTGTGAAACTAAAAACAGAAGACAAAAACTTCTTACTTACCGAAAAAGTATTGCAAGAACTGCTAATTCATGCCCTCCACACTTAACAATGTGGCTTTTTCAAGCTTTTAAAGGATAGTAGTTATCCATTGGTCTTAGGAACCAAAAAATTGGTGCAACTCCAAATAAAAGTAATAAACTTATTTACTTCTTCCGCCCTACTCACACTACTCATACTGATCGCCCCTGTCATAGCATCTAGTACAAACCTCTACAAAAACAACAAGTACCAACATTATGTAAAAAATATAACCCTCTTTGCTTTCATCACCAGCCTAATCCCAATAATAATATTTATCCATACAAATCAAGAAATACTCATTTCAAACTGACACTGAATTACTATCCATACCCTTAAACTAACACTCAGCTTTAAAATAGACTACTTTTCACTTATATTTATACCCGTAGCACTATTCATTACATGATCTATCATAGAATTTTCAATATGATATATGCACTCCGACCCTCACATCAACCAATTCTTCAAATACCTACTTATTTTCCTCATTACCATACTTATCCTCGTCACAGCTAACAACCTCTTCCAATTATTTATCGGATGAGAGGGAGTAGGAATCATATCTTTCCTATTAATTGGCTGATGATTCGGATGAACAGACACTAATACAGCCGCTCTTCAAGCAATCCTATATAATCGTATCGGAGACATCGGATTCCTTCTATCCATAGCCTGATTCTTACATAATACAAACGCATGAGACTTACAACAAATCTTCACACTCAACCAAAATCCCCCAATCCTCCCTCTTATAGGACTCACATTAGCCGCAGCTGGAAAATCAGCCCAATTTGGTCTACACCCCTGACTACCCTCAGCAATAGAAGGTCCCACTCCAGTTTCAGCCCTACTCCATTCAAGCACAATAGTCGTAGCAGGAATTTTCCTACCTATCCGCTTCTACTCTCTAACAGAAAATAACAAATTTATTCAAACAATAATACTTTCTCTAGGTGCCCTCACCACCCTATTCACAGCTATCTGTGCCTTAACCCAAAATGATATCAAAAAAATTATTGCTTTTTCCACCTCCAGTCAACTTGGCCTAATAATAGTAATGTTAGGCCTCAACCAACCGCACCTAGCCTTCCTGCACATTTGTACACATGCTTTCTTCAAAGCTATGTTATTCTTATGTTCCGGCTCCATCATTCACAATCTAAACAATGAACAAGACATTCGAAAGATAGGAGGACTATACAAAATCCTTCCCTTCACTACAACTGCCCTAATCATTGGCTGCTTCGCACTAACAGGAATACCATTTCTCACAGGATTCTACTCTAAAGACCTCATCATTGAAGCTGCCACTTCGTCTTATACCAACGCCTGAGCCCATTCTGTCTTTTCATTTTGCTTATCGTACTGTGTTTGGGGTCTCCTTTTTGCAGTCTGCAAGTTCGTTGTTCCCATTGTTTTTGATGTCTGGCCCCAGTGGCTAAGGTTGGTTTAGTGGCTGGTGTAGGTTTCCTGGTGGAGGGGACTAGTGGCTGTGTTCTGGTAGTTGATGCTTGATCTTGTCTCTCAGGTGGGAAGGTCCATGTCTGGTGGTGTTTTTCGGGCTGTCTGTGGCCTTATGATTTTAGGCAGCCTCTCTGCTATTGGATGGGGCAGTGTTCCTGTCTTGCTAGTTGTTTAGCATTGGTATCTGGCACTGTAGCTTGCTGGTCATTCAGTGAAGCTGGGTCTTGGTGTTGAGATGAAGATCTTTGGGAGATTTTCACTGTTTGATATTACGTGGAGGCTGGAGGTGTCTTGTGGACCAGTGTCCTGAACTTGGCTCTCCCACCTCAGTGGCACAGCCCTGACGCCTGGCTGGAGCACCAAGAGCCTGTCTTCCACATGGCTCAGAATAAAAAGGAGAAAAAATAGAAAGAAAGAAAGAAAGAAAGAAAGAAAGAAAGAAAGAAAGAAAGA